GAAACGCTGAAGAGAGTGAGTTTGCAAGGCGACTGGCAAATGCCAACTCCAGGATAGCAGTATGGGCAAAGGATCATATTTGGTGGGCAATTCGGAACCCGACATTGCTGCGGCTGGAAGCCCGACTAGAAGCTGCATGCGAGCAAGACGGGACCTCAGACCCATCCAAACTCAACCGACGTGCAATTTTCACGGTACTCAACTCGTTTAGAGGGCAGGATGCCAAATCAGAGCTGGAGTTTGTGACATTCAGTTACCTGCGCCAGCGTGCTGGTGTCCTTCTTCTTACCAACTTATTGCATGCGACAGAGACGCCTTTCACAGATGCTGAGTTGAAAGCCTTGGAGGAAGTTTTGGTGGAGAGTAGTCTGGATCCTCGCGTTGTTTTGTCTTTGATACCCGGCCTACGGAATGAGATTGTAGAGAGCCGAAGAGGCATCTGGGTCTTTGGCGGCGTCAAGAGAACAACAGAGAACTACTTGGAAAGCGAGCATTTTCATAAAGACAGTCACTCAATAGGGGACCTCGACGGCAAAGTCATGCAGTTTCTGCGGCGGTTCCTAGCCGCGTGGAGAAAGAAGAAGGGATTCGGCAGCGTTGCAGACGAGAGCGAGGTGTTCCGGACTGTCGATGCCGCGTTGTTGCTGGTCCTCCTCGAGCTCGACCAGACTTCACCCGCAGGCCTGGCGAGGAAGAGCTCGTCGGTCCGATCAGAGTTATATGACGTTGTCGACAAGGGCGTAGATTGCTTCGATCGAGCTGCCTCCCTTTTAGAGTCATACCACCGCCTCTTCGTACTCAGTCGACTATACCAAAGCCGCAAGATGGCGGGCGACGTTCTTGCGACCTGGCGGCGTATCGTCGAGGGTGAGGCCGACTATGGAGGCGAGCTGCAGGATGGAGAGCAGCGCGTCCGTGAGTATCTCACGAAGATTAGCAGCCAGGCCCTCGTGAGGGAATATGGTGTCTGGCTCGCGAGTCGCAATCCGAAGCTCGGCGTACAAATCTTTGCAGAAGATAAGGGCAAGGCGCCCGGCTTCGAGCCAGCGGAAGTTGTGGCCATCCTTCGTGAAGAGGCTCCCGACGCAGTCAAGTACTACCTGGAGCATCTTGTTTTTGGCAAGGGGCACACTGGTTATGTCAACGACCTCATCGCCTACTACTTGGACGTTGTTCTCAGCGATCTAGAGACGTCGCAAGAGAGCCGAGACGCGTTTGCCGGCACATACACATCATACAGAGCATTACAGGCTCCGAAACCGACATATCGACAGTTCCTCACGGATAACGCTCCCGAAGATGACGAGGTCTGGCAGAGCCGGCTGCGGCTATTGCAGTTGCTGGGTGGTGCACACCAGTACGACGCCGCCGCCATCAGGGAGCGCATATCCTCGCTGCCGGACGAGCTTCTCGTCCCCGAGACCATCATCCTCGACGGCCGCGAAAGACGTCACGAGGATGCCATCCGGCTTCTCGTACACAAGCTGGGCGACTACGACACGGCTGTCTCGTACTGCCTGCGCGGCGGTTCGAGCATCTACACGCGCCCGGACGGCAGGCGGGAGAGCACGCCGACGCACGACATGCAAGCGCGGCTGTTCCGGGCTGTCCTCGGCGAGTTCCTCGCCATACAGGACGTCAGCGACCAGATTGAGCAGACGGGCGCGCTGCTGGAGCGTTTCGGGGGCTGGTTCGACGTCGAGGATGTGCTGGCGCTGATTCCCGACCAGTGGTCCGTCGAGGTCGTGGCTGGGTTCTTGATGACGGCGCTGCGGCGTATCACGCAGGAGAGGCACGAGACGACGGTCACCAAGGCTCTCAGCTCGGCGGAGAATTTGAGAGTGAACCACGACTTGATTCTCAAGGTGGATGAGAAGGGACCGTCGATTGAGGCGCCTAATTAGTCGGCTGTGTAGCCGTGATTGGTGTCTTGGAGATTGGAGGAAGGGTCATGTTTTGATGTAGAGTAAATTTGGTCCGTAGAGGACAAACATAGCAAGGCGGGAGAAAGCACGATAATGATGATGCCCTCATAGACTTTGTTCCTCATATCCGGTGGTACGTGGTACCAATGCAGGTGAGGTGAGAGGAGCTGCTGGATTTCTTGACAATATAGGCACTAGGGATTGCAACACTCTGACGATCAACCATTGCTGTCGTAAACCGGGACGTGCTTCACAAACCATCAAGTCTCCCTGAATAAGCCGTTGCCTGTGCATTTCAAAAAAAAAAAAAAAAAAAAAAAAAAAAAAGCTATTCAGCGTCCCTAGCCATCGCAGACGGGGGGAAACAAGGTCCGAGTAAGTTGAGGTGTCGACGAATAGGAAACGGAAAGCAGCTCTTGTTTCCTTTTGCTATCACGAAGCCGCTGCATCCGGTCACGGGAAGGAGGATCTCACCCGTCGTTTATCACTCCCTACGGCCGGTTGAAATTATGGAAAGCGCCGAGATTGACGCAAAGAGACGGGAGACTTCGCTGCTGTTGCTGTTGGAGTGGTACTTACCTGCCTGCCTGCCAGCCACTTACGTATCTACCTCAGCTCCTGGGGGGGGGGGGGGGTGCTCTCGCGAACCCGAATGCGAATGCGTCTGGTCGGAGGCATGTGAGGTATCTCTATCCAGCCACCCAGCTGAGTTCTCATTCTTTCCCATGGACAAAAACCAATATGAACAGATGATCATAACCGATGACTGCACGTGGTGTCGAATAAAAGATTGCCGATCAAAACTTGGGTGTTTTTGTCTCATATGAAAAAGCCTTGGGAATGAGAAAACACGGAAACATACCTAGCTAGACCTAGGTAAAAGACGGGGGGGTTGATGTGAAGGGCGGGAGAGAAGAATGCACAATGGACGGACGCTTCGACGGGCTGGGTCTTGGGAAGGGAAAGCTGGTTGTGATGAACGAGTTGATTACGATGCTGCGAATAGGTCAAGAAGTACGGGTGCTCCGTAGGACAAAATGATGGGACAAGAATTCAATAATTGATGTAGGTAGATTCAATGCTGGCGCATGGATAGCTTCAAAGGGGGCTCAAGTTCTATTGACAGGCCGGGGCCCCCTTTCGGACCAAACTCCGTCCCTAGCTCTGGTTCTAGTTCTAGTAGGATTCCCCTCCACGTCCTCGTCCTACGATTCTCCCACTCATAACCCTTCTCCCGGCCATTGACTGTGGACAGCAAACTCAAATACTGCATCTAGCCAGGTCGGCCAACGCCCGAAGGAGTTTACCCCATCAACAGAAGTCTGGCTGTCTAGGGAAGGAAAACTCAGTAGGAGAACGGCAACGACGACGACGGTTTCAATGATTCCAAAGCGCCGTGCCTCGAAACCAAAAGTTCCTCCCCCAGCAAAGATCTAGGGCCCAGCCACAATGTCTAAGATCGAACCAATCAAGAGTCGTAGATCAGGCTCAGCTCAGCTGGAATAGGAGAGAACCCGTACCCGTAGGGGCCGTAGGCGCACCTCTGAGCTTCGAGGGCTTGAGTTTTCAGCCGCACCGGGCCTGGTACCCGGGCATAGCAAAGGTACTCTTCTTCTTCTTCCTCCTGTTTCCCTGCTTTCTGCTCCTGCTCCTGCTCCTCTGTTGTTCATGCCATGAGCACGTAAACAGCTGATTGCGGGCGAAACAAATTCATCACCATCATCTTCCTCCCGGGCGCTAACTTTACCCCCTTCAGCCACCTTTCTCAGGGGAGATGAGAGTACCCAAGTGAGCTGTCGAGGGAAAGCAAAAAAGGCAAAAGTTCCCCCGGAGAATGGAGCGGGACCTCGGATGGGGCCTAGAGCCTAGAGTCCAAGAGCCTAGAGCTGAATCGAGAAATGATGTCGTTGAATGTCTCAGCATCAAGAGAGACAGAGCGGAGTGTCAAGGTCCGCACCAATGGTCCTTATAAGTCAAAACCCCACCCACGTCGTGGTTCTTGTTGCCCACTGACCGTGACCGCTTGTCTGTGGCCACCATATTATGTATATTTTATTCTTCTTGTTCTTCTTTCCTTTCACGCGGCAGCCTTGCGTTTAAGCACCGCAATAGTCAACCACCTCTTTCGGACCGTCACGTCCTCGATACCGCGGTCCCAAGCCCACTCCCGCTCCTCGCCGTCGCAGTCCCGCTCCCAAATGGACTCGACCTCGAGCCCGGCGTCCGCCAGGCTCGCCTCCTCAAAGAAGCCGCGCATCTTGGGCCGTCCCGTGTGAAATCCGGCCACGACCCAGCAACGGGACTCGGAGCCTTCTCGCATGAACCAGGCAATGGACTTTTGCAAGTTGGCGTGCTGCCAGGGCATCCAGAGGCAGTCTGCGACGAATAGCCGATCGAAAGCGTGCTTGTTGGCGATGGAAAACGGATCGTCGAGCTCGCCCCACGAGTGTCCCTCGACCAGGACCTCGCGGGCCGTGAGGGCGCCCGTGGGGGAGACGGCGGGGACGATGTTGCGCGTGGCGTTGAGGCGGAGGGACTTCATGACGGCCGGGGCGGGGTAATCCGTCAGCACGGTGCGTTCCGCGCCGAGGAGGGCGGACATGATGCTCGGCAGGGCGGTGCCGGCGCCCAACTCGAGGGTTGTCTTGCCGCGGACGTCAAAGTGCGATAGTGGGGGCCCGAGACGGACGGGCACGGCGGTGTCGATACCCAAGGTGCCGGCCTCGACGAACTCGCCGAGCTGGAGGCTCGAGTTCCAGAGGTAGTGGCTGAAGAGCTTGCGGTCGTCGGCGGCGTCGGGCTCGGCGAGCTCAAAGGTCAGGGGACGGCGTAGGTGCGGGGAGGTGTATTCGATGCCGTTTACGGCGTCGCCGTGTTGGTTTGTGACGTCGTCGGGGAAGATTACGCCGAGGGAGGACATGAGGTAGTCCTCGGGGGACTCGGCGGGCGGGCCGGTCAGGGAGATGCGGGATGTGAGCGCCATTATTGACGGATAGGAACGGAGAAAGAGCGCCGGGGGGCCGGGATGTCGAAGGAGGAGGAGGAGGAGGAGGAGGAGGAGGGTGGGCAGTCGAGATGCCGGGGATCCAAGGACGGCGAGACACCGAAGCGAACGAAAGCGAGTACGACGACGACGACGAGGACGAGTTTGACAACGAGGTACCTGCCGCGAGTAGAGTGCTGTCGTCGAAGCGCAGTGGCGTTAGGGTATGCGTAATGCAAAAAAAAGACTTGGGTAAACGGGGAAAAATTGTCGTCTTTTTCGGTGTGTGCGCGCGCAAGGCCAGGAGGAGGTCAAACGGCGCATGGCGGGGTAGTCGAATTGCCCCGCCATCCACCGAGTTGCGCTACGGACACCTACCTAACAATGTACACCTTCCCTCAGTCACTGGTCAGGCGGCATCGTGCACAGCGAGTCCGAATCAGCGAACAACCCCAACGACAGAAAAAAACTAAAAAAGACCGGGAACGACACCGCCATGAAACAGGGAACACGTCGATTTTCGAAAGATGGGACGAAAGAGATGTGGCGTCTGTCAATGCCGAAAAGATGTCCTCGCGGTGGCACCGACGAGAGGAAGAAGAAGAAGAAGAAGGGGTACGCATACACTACACAGGACGCACAGCCATCAGAGCCGCAAGGAACCGCACTTGCGTCTGCGTCCGCGTCCGCGTCCGATGTCAGTGATGTGGGATGAGAAAAAACAAGGTGTTGAGCCTCACGACGCCACGGCATGAAAGACTGCAAGAGATGGGACGGGGGGAGGCGTAGAGGACGTGGACGCGCACCACGGCATAGGGGCACCGTTGCCCCTCAGGAGTTGGCATAACCTGCCCATGAGGTGGTTTCTTATGTAAGTTTGTAAGGTAAGGCGAATGTGTTAATAGTCGGATGGCAGGGTTGATCGTGAGAGTGGGAGCCTCCCTGGAGAGAACCATCAGGATCATCCAGGTCGGTGATAATAGTGCACCTATACACTACTACTCCGTACCCGTATAGTGGTATCCTTACGCAGTAAGCGTGTACGTGGTATGGTACGCTACTTTACTTCAAACCTCATCTCTGGGATGCTCTGCAAGGTACGAACCTGGAGCTTGGAGCCTGGAATCCCTGGGACTTGGCCCCCGGGGCAGAGGAAAACAATTACCACGGCGCGGATGCTGCCGCGACACAGCCACACTGGCCACGATGTCTTTTTTCCTCCATGTACTGTGGTAGCTTTCCCGCCTGGGCTGTCCCTCGGTCGGTGCGTCGGGGGCCTCTTCAGGGACCACAGTGCCGGAGAAAATCATCGTCAGCGGGGTCCCTTTTTCTGTGTCTCCGTCCTTTCTTCCAGTGGACCGTAGGTATCAGCGGAGGGAACCTAAGCGCAGGTGGCTGTGCAAACAAATCGCTGCAGACTGCAGAGTGGTCCCCCCCCCCCCCCGTAGCCGAAGCTTAGCACTACTAGCGGGCTCGCAGGAACCCGCATCTCGACAACAGTTTTCCGCTCCACCCCTCCTCTGGGCTCCCTCTCCCTCTCCGTCATCACCACCACCACCACTACCGCCAGGGAACCTCCCACTAACAGAGGAGACCAAAAAAAAAAAAAAAAAAGATAGAGGTGGTGCAGTGCAGTGGCTGTGCCGCCCTGTGCCGTCCACTCGCACCCGCATCCGCAAACCAGATCCCTTCTCTGCCCCAGATCCAACCATACACACACTCTCTTTCGTCCATTGAGTTTTCCAAAGTTACTCTCTCCAATGTGCAAAATGCTTGTAATTAGTAGTACAACCACACACACACACACACACACACCGACAATAGGTAGACTGCGGCCACAACATGCGCATGCCACTTATGCATGGCTATTTTGATCCTCCCTCGGGTCATCCTCATCCTCCTTCATCATACCTCCCCACCACAGCATATCATGCTTACTTACGTAGGTACCCTGACACGAACAAACGTAATCCGTACCTTACATTTTCGTCCCATCGTCATCAACCATCCGTCCATCCACCACCCTCGATCCCGAATCCCGTCAGCATGCCCCCCCCCCCCCTTTCTCTGGCCAGCCACAGGTACGGGTACGGGCTACCCAAACAGGCCGACCACCGGCCACCGGCCACCAGTATCCTCATCCTCCATCGGCTCATCCTCCATCGCTCGCGGCAGAGCGCGGAACTCGGAACCACCAACCACTCACCAGTAACCGTTTATTCTTGCTGCCTGGCACTCTAGGATCTTGGGGGCTTGGGGGGGGAAAAAAGAAGCAGCTAGTTAGACTAGCTGATGAGGTCGCACAAGAACCAAGGCACCCACCCCATCGTGATTCGTGATAAATCTGGCAGTCTGACACGCCTGATAGGGGATCTTAGGGCCAAAGAACAAAACCCCCTTCACCATCCCCGATCCGGTAATACCGCTGCGAGTCTTCGGCACGACTATCCATCCCATACAAGTACAGCCCGTCCACACTCCCTTGCTTAACACTATTGCTGCCGATCTTTGCTGCCAATCGCTGACCCTGTCGCGCTGTCAAAACCGTCAGTCCTGTTCCTGTTCCGTCATCCCTTGTTTCCGACAAGTAATCAGATCGGGATTCGTTATCCAAATCGCATCATTCCCCATCTATACCCGAGGCATCACGGTTGTAACTCATCACGGCGAGTGAGAAGAGCGGGAATAGTGACAGTGAAAGTGAGAGTTGACAAGTGTCTCTTGTTTTATACCATCGAGCCTTAGGCTATCATATAGTATAGGGTATCAATCAAATGCTCCTTTTTCTTCAAGGGGCAAACAACATGGAACTTATTCCGTCCAATCATGAACCTCATGTCCATCCCGTCCTCGTAAGCCAGTCGTTGTAGTCCCGTACAAGTCTGCGCCAAACCATGCAACACCAAAATGTAGTGTGGAGATTTTTTTTCCGCTCGTCAAAATCGCTCCCGCCCAAAAAAAAAAAAAGAATGAAAAAGAAACGAATGAAGCATCCCGATGATATTGTCCTCCGCCGCCTTCCATTACTGAGCCGCCTGGCAGCTCTCAAGCATCGCCTGCATCTCCCGCAGCTGCTCCTCAGTCGGATCGTCAGAGATCCAGGGTCCCTTCTCCTCATCCGTCGCACCAAGGAAGCCCTCGGCACGCTTCAGCGTCTGCACGTCCAGGTCTGTCACGTAGTTGTTGCCGTCCGTGAGCTTGATGCGCACCTCGTGATCCGTCGACAGCATCATGTCGTCCTTGGCCAGTCGCCGAGGACCATCAAACACTGCCATCACCCGCTTCTTCATCGTCATCTGGCCCTTGTCGAAGCCCCAGGAAGAAGGGTAGTCGCGTCTGTTCTTGCGACCCTTGGCCTTGACAGGCATAGGGCCGCCTCCACGGGAGTGCGTGAGGCCGCGCGACTTTTGAACACCGTTGACCGGGTTGCCCTTCCTCTTGGGCGACGCGCTGACACGCTGCTTGCTGTCTTCCTCGTCATCGTCCTCCATCATCTCCTCGTCGTCCTCCTCCTCGTTCGAGGACATCTGCGTCTGCGTGGGCAGATGGTTCTTCTCCAATGTCTGGTGCACCTCCTTGTCGTTCTCAACCTCGGCCAGGCGCTGAGCGTTGATGGCCTCAGAAGGGTCCTCCTGCTGCACAATGCGCAGCACACAGTCGTCCAAGTGCTCGTAAAAGTCCTGAGCGTTGGAGAAGGTCTGCGAGCAAGTGGAACACTTGCCAGTGGCATCGGGAGGGTATCCCGCGAGCTTCTTGCCGCTGTTGGCGCTGCTGCTCTTCTTGCGACTGTTGGGTGGTGTCTGCTCGACGCCGTGGACGGCTGTCAAGTGACGCTTGAAGACATCGGCGCGGTTGAACGACTTCTCAGCCGCTGAACCGGAGCCGGGGCAGAAACCGCACACCATGGTTCCCTTGTAGTGCGTCAGGGTGTGGCGGTTCTTGTCGTACTTGCGAGCGAAACCCTTGACGTGGTAGTCGCAAGTCACAATCGGGCACTTTTCCGGCCGCTCAGTCTGGTGAGTGAGCATGTGCGCCTTGAGGTCTTTGAAGACCTTGCCGCATTCGGGATGGGGGCATCTCTGCTTCTCCTTGCCCTCATCGCCGCTGTAGTTGTTGCCATCAGAGTAGGTTGAGGGGAATGAGTGAAGGCTGGGGCGGCGGGCGTCACCGGGAGTAGCGTAAGGGCTGAATTGCTGCTGCTGTTGGAAACCGCTGTGGAGGAAGGGCGATTGACTGCCGTTGCGAACCATTGACATTGACTGTGATGAGGGCGAGAGGGCAGGCGAGGTGGGATACTGGTTGGGGTTCTGGAAGTTGGCCATCATGGGGCGGCTGATGTCGGGGTGGATCAAAGAAGGGTCTGGAGCGGAGAGGTGGTCAGCGGGCAATGTGCGATAAGGAGGATGATGCTGCTGCTGCTTGACAGAGGAAAACCAACAAGAAGAACCAAGAGGAGCGACGAAATGGCCGCTGCTCTGAGAAAAGAAAGTAGAGACTCGAGGAGTCTTTGGCGAGTGGCCCCAGACGGGCGCCGGAGGAGAAGAGAAGGAAGTAGAGCTAGGAGAGACAAAGGACAAGCTTGACTTGCGCGATGCGGGCGTGACAGGGGATGAGGAGGACGAGTGAGTATCCAGCACCGGGCCCGAGTCGCGCACGCGCACAGCTGAAGCTATAGCTGTGTTGGAAGAATGAGAGCCGATTGACTCGTGTGAAGGAGAAGGAAAAGAAGAAAGCGCGCGAGATGAGGGCGCAAGAGTGGTTCTAGAAGCGCTTGGCAACTCACCCACGAAACCCGGGGGCTTGGTGTTTGCAAATTCAAAAGTTGCAAAGTCTTCCATACCTGGGCCGGCGTAGGTCGAGTACTCTGTACCGGCGGTGTTGTAGTAGTCGTGGGGCACGATGCCCGGGGTCACAGCGATGCCGGGGTGCGCCCAGTCGAGGATTGGCGCCGGCTGGTCGTTGTGTGATTGGGGCGAGCCTACGTTGGAGGAGGCCGCCGATGGTGCTGATGCGGTAGAAAGGTTGGAAGAAGGCAGTTGGAACTCGGCGTCCTCGTAGAGGCCAGGTGATGTGCGTCCTTGGTACATAAAGTTGTTGTCGTAGAGGGCGGGCTGGTGATCCATTGCCATGGAGGTTGGGAACAAGTAAGAGGCGTCGGCAGGGATGCTCATCTCCATGGGTGCTGTGCTGAAGACTCCCTGTGGTGGCTCAGGGTAAAGAATGTAGTCGTCGTGGTGCTGGGGGCTCAAGTGCCTGGGGAGCATGGTATATGACTGGTCTATCGAAGCCATTTTGTAGGAGGTAGATGTGTGTGTGTGTGTGTGTTTGTGTGTGTATATGGTAATGTGGTGAAGAGAGAGGTAAAGGGTGATGATCTGTGGAAGGCCTCTCGGTCAAATCCGAGTTGCGAAGTCGCAGAGTTGATGTTATATGGTTGGTTGGTTGGTTTGCTGTAGCTGTCGCTCAGTCCGAAGCAAAGCCACACAGTTGCCTTGTATTATGCCGTCACTGCTATTCTTCCCACTGCTGTCAGTCGTCTGTACTATTTGACCTGCTAAAAGCTGCTGCGCTGTGCTGCGCCTGCTTTGGATGTGGGGCTGGTGAAGCGCACCTGCAGCGATGTTCATGCCCGCGGCGTTTCCGCGTTGTGAGGTACCGGGCCGTTAAATGATTGGCGAATGCTTTCTCTCTGTCTGTCTTTCTCTGAGCTTTACTTTGCGCGCGGTAGTATGCCTCCGAGCATATGGTTCCTGAATAGTTGCCGCGTCAAGTAACCAAGTGTAGTAAGAAGAGAGTTGTTGCTGGCGAGAGTGAAGTAAGAGACGGTTTGGGTGGAGGATGTCTTTCTTGAAAACGTGTGAAAGACTACTAGGTGATGGACCGTCGTCTTGGTGTCGTGGGTATCCGGAGATCTGGGTCTGATAGATAGATGTAGAGACTGATGGGGGCGAGAAACAAATCACCAAGAGCCTTGGGGGCTTCACGACTGATATAGACCGGCTGCGAGCTACGCTCTTGTCGAGAGAGAGAGAGAGAGAGAGAGAGACAGACGCAGAGACAAGAGACCACCACATCTTGCAGACCGGGGGCACATGGGTTCGGCGGCCGTGGCTTGCTTGCTGTTGGCACTTGGGGACCCGGTGGACGACGCGGATCAGTCTCCTCCAGATGGTGAACCCCCAAAGATGACAGGGGACCAAACGCCCAGGGGGCGGAGGTCGTAGGGCAGAGCAACAAGCAAAAGCGACGAGAGCGAGCAAACGGCAGCGGCAGCAGCAACGCCAGAGTGAGAGGCGGTACCGTACCGTACGCCGACCTTGCGGCAGGGGTCAGGGGTGCGTCGAGCGGAAAGGGGGCGTGGTGGGGAGGAGGGTGGTTGCTGGAGACCTCGACTTGGGTGTGTGGTGGGCGTGAGCCTTGTCCATGGGGTGTGTGGGTGGTGTGCGTGCATAGACCAGACGAGAGGCGGCTTCTTCTTCTTCCCTCGTTCTTGTTGCTCCTCCTCCTCCTCCTCCTCCTCCTCCTCCTCCTCCTCCTCGCCTGTCTGCACCATCCCCTCTTGTCCCCTCTGCTTCCGTGGATACCTCATTTAGCGCAAGATACGCACCCAAACGAACTAGCCTTGTTTGACCTGGCTGGAGGGGCTCGGCCTGAGGGCGCCGGGTAGTAGAGCCACGAAACAGCGCCCATTCCAGACTCGGTTTTTCGACCTTCGACTGCGAGCCTTCTCGACACTTTCAAGAGACTCAGAGAGAGGGGGGTGTGAGTCCTTCTTCGTTGTCTCTGCCCACCGATGCGGGATGCCAAGATCTGTCTCTGAAATGGTCTCTCATTTCCATCCGTTGTGCTCTCTGAGCCGTCTGCCGCGGTGGTGTGCCACAGAGACAGACATTCATTAGCTTTGGAGCGAAAAGGAACCATCTGTCGTCGTCGACAACACACCTCGACAACTTCTGTACGCCGTATGTGTTGATGGAGACGGGTATCTGGGAACGAGATGGTGACGGCCGGCCATACTGCGTAGGTAGTCGCAATGGGTACTTGATAGCTCTGGTACTCAGTACTTTGTTGGCTAAGCTGGTGGCCTCCGACAACCAGACCTCACACCCACTGCCGCGCTACAGAATGGCAGCCAGCACCCCCTTGGGCCAGTGCTGACCAGGGCCGCCAGACTCTCAACAGCTTGGGCCTTGGTACATCCCTGGCATCGAGAAGTACGGTAGATAATACTTCTCACATGTACAGTCGTCCTGCGGAGCAGGGTCAAGTTGTGTCCACTGGTGCAGACCCTGGTATCTGGCCAAACCCCCCTTGAGCGTTCAAGTGCTCTCGGGTCCTGTCCCAGTAGGTAGACGCGAGGGGCCTGACAGGGGCCCCAAATGAGACAGGTAGCGAAGGTGCAGAAGCTGTACGAAGCATTCCCAGATAGTAACTTGTCAGGCCCAAGAGCCTAGTTGGGAGTCTCCGTCTGCAGCTGTAAGTATCTCACTTCGTAGTCTGGTAGCCTGTTGGCAGCGTACGAAAAAGCAGAGCCGTTCCCCCGCCAGTCAGGTGTGGTGCTGGGGGCGTCGCTCTCCGCCGCCGCGGGATGCCGTCGGTATGATTTGGATCTATTGACCCGTCTGCTGTGGGAGGTGTCGACGTCGCCGCAACCGGGTTGCAAAGCACTGCACCAAGTGCCTACTCCGTAGGGCTCAATCATCCGTTTCCGCTCTGCTGCCGACCATGCGTCCAGCGTCCCTTGGTTCGTCCTCCATGAACAAGGAGATATATTGGATCGCCAGTGTACATGCAGCTCATGTCGCGAGCCCGGTCTGCACAATGACAAAAGTATTCGTACGTCTCTGGGTCTATGCAAAACTTTCTTCTTCCTGTACCACTCTCCCATCAACTCTCACATCGAAAATGGCGTCGCAACTTTCGACCGTGCTGTAAATTCAAGGACCTGGAAACAGCAAGCGGTATATGCAAGGTCCTGCATATGCTGACGGACGTAAAGCAACGTGAGGGTTCGAAAAAAAAGAAAGTTGACTTGGAAATAGTTTGCATGAAGCACGTCCAACAGCCACAGCCCCCTTTTGCCAACCTCAGAGCCAAATGTGGATAGCAATAGCCAAAGTTGTATCTTGAGGCGACAACAACTCGCCAGTGTGCGTCAGATGCGTCAGTAACAGCTTGGGCACTCCGCATGTTGGCCTCAAAATGGCATAACTTGACTCCAAAACGGGCTTCATCGTCAGTGAGGGGGGAGCGGGTTATTGTGGAGGCACTGGCGGGAGGTGCTGCTGCGGTGTACTTTCTCCCACACTCTACGTGTCTGTCTGTATTTGTGCTCTGTGTCTGTAGGTCGCGCCGGTACACATATGGTGTTGCGTTGCTTACTGTAGGTAAGGTGTCGACGTGGTTGAGGGGCGGGATATTTTTACTCACTGCACACTGCGGGTGCTCGTGCTGTGCTGAACAAGCCTCCTTCATCCCAGGCCCAGGGATCTCTCTCATTGCGATTTTGTACATGAGTGTGGGAGTTGGCCCAATGAACGGCGTCGCGCCTCTCTCCACGCTTGCAGCCCGTGGCAGCACTTTGGTGTGCAAGCCGGGCCCGCCTTCGACTTGTTGGTGTGCACAGCCCGGCCTTATCCGTCCCTCTAAGTTATTAGTCGAAGCCTTTAGAGGTTGGACATGACATTGGATGTCCTGCAGTCACCCCATATCGCGCTGTTCCAGGCGGTGCCTGGAGTGTGGGTAGCACTGTTGACTGGATATAGCGACCTCGAACCATACGACGGCGCCTGTGCCTCCTCAAAGGTAATGGGATCATGTACGGGCCGGAGAGAGAATCTGTACCGATCCATGTCTTCGTGACGGCCACTAATGTTGCTATTCCTCCCGCCCTTCCTTGGGACGACGATGCGTGTCAGCATCTTGTTCGCGGCATCGTGTCCCAAAACGGCATCGGGGCAGCTCAATCTTGTCAAGCCTCCAAGTTCCAGTGTGCGGGACAGCTTGCATCGTACATGTTCGACTGGCAGAGACAACAAGGTGGGCTGGTGGTTCAAAGTCTTCGTTGAGAACAGCCGTCCGACCACCGGCCACGACACGCGGCAAAAACATCGAGTTTCAAAGAATCGGGACGGCCCAAATAGAGTTCCACGACCCAAGCGGCGTGACTGAGTCTCTTGTCTGTGATGCCATGCCAATCCGGGCTGGCGGGTTTGTTGGCTGGTCCAAGGGTTCAGACGTTGGAAGGGTTCCAGAGCCGTTCGGTCATAGTCATCGCACGCTAGAGGCACCACGTCGCGGCACCGCTCTCTAGAGGCGTATTCCATCCAGTCGATGGCCAGAGTTCGAAATGGCCCAGCCCGAGACTTGATCTTGGTGCAACCGGCCCCTTGGGAAATGTATGTGCGGCAGGTGGAGACCAAAGTTCTGGTGGTTAGATGCCTCTTTTCGTCCTCAGTCCTCATGCCACCAAGCACCGGGCCACGATGAGACAAAAGACTAGTGCCGACCTCTGGAAAGATTCACGTTGTTGCCATTCAACGCCTCGTCTCCATTGTGGCAGGCAAGCCAGTGTTCCTAGATAGCCTTTCACGCTTCGTTGCTTTGGCGTTGCCTCGCGACGACTTGCCACGGCGGTCTCAAGCCTCTGCACAGAGTACGACACGTCGAGCTCCTGGATAACTATGTGCGTCGCATCGGGTTGGTGAATTCGAGACGTGAAGCCGGACCATTGGAACATCATCGTCCGCCGGCGTACCAAACAATGCCTTCTTGCTAGCGCGCAGGAGTGTGATGGAAATTGAAGTAATTCGCTAGTCTGCGTGGGATTACGGCCGTTGCCGCACGGGCTGAGCAAGGGCAATCTCACGCTCTCCCAATCTTGTATCCGTAGAGTTCGCTAAATCGTGACGATGTTGCTTCTTGAGTTGTCGCTAATGCCCTGGAGAGTAACATTGACCAAATCATAGTTCGCAATACCAGTCGCATTCAGACGTACACGCATAGGGTGGTTTCGCTTGGCGAGATTCGATGCGCTACTGACCAAAGCATTCCGCATCATGGGTCGCCGGCCGGGGCAGCTCACACGAGGCACCCATGGAAGCCATGGGGAACTCGAATTGTCTCCGCACTGCGAAAAAAACCGTACTGTGGTAGAGAGCCAACGTGGGATAACATTGTCCATCGAGACATGTCGCCCGATTAGGTGTAGCGGTGGCTCATCTGCCCGAGACCCTGGTTTGAAGCCTCTGATTGGCGCTTTTACGGCTCCCGCTATCCTTGCCGTGTAGATAGTCAAAATCTTTAAAAAGAAATCCAGGAGGCGGTGCAACCTTGCCGTCGTTCACCAGCCCCGATGAACCCCAACCTTGCCAAGGGCTGCCACCCAGATGCTAGGACGGGTGAGGGCAGTGTTCAGTGACTTGAGCATCCACCAATGTTTCATGCTCGTGGCACGTAGTGGTACCTTGCACTGGCCGGCTTGATTCCATCCCGTTTTCCTGGGAACATGGATGCGCCTTACCGACCCGGATTTGTTGTCCCTCAGAAACCCTGCAGTCATCAAACGTGGAAGCATGTCGATAATTGGCATCTAATATTGCCTGGCTCGCGGGACAGAGGATGATGCATGTACGAATATCTGTAGGTGGCATCCTTTGCACGGCGTATTCCTTCCGTCATCTCGTGTTTATGGCGACGTCATGTGTGCTCCTTGCGACTCGTACAACGCTATCGGTTGATCAAATGTATCTACGGAATTCTGACTTTGACGGTCGGCTCTCTTGGTCACCGAGGATGCGTAGGTTCGTTCCGAGCAACGCAGGTAGGGATGTCGTGTCGACTTGGATGTGGTGCTCGCCGAGACTCGAAGATTCTCGCCGGAGCTTATGGTGTTAGCCTGGTGTCTCTGATTTCGAAAAACGTTTGGTCAGAAGGGCTTATATGCCGGCCGGGACTTGCAATGCTCCAAGAACCAGCCAAACGGAATCTGCCATGCTCCCCTTCTCCTTGGCGCACCTGTGCTGATGCGGGTTGCAAGCGTCATCTCGTCTTTGGACCCGCGTGCCATTGCTTCAAATGAAGCAGCCCGTAAGTGAGACTCGACCAAGGTGGTTGATAGCACGGGGCAGAGAAGCCCCCAAGCCCCTTGTTCTACGAGCGCACACATTGCATGCTTTCGTTTGGTGGCTTGCTGAAGCTCAAGGGTCTTCGTGTGGAGCCAGCGGACGGGAGCGATCCCGCCATTTTGAGGTATAACCAGCCGGCCGGCGTTGGGTAAAGAGGCATGCAGCACGCAAGCCGCTCCTGTGCCGCCCAGTCCTTTCCTGTAATCCGCGCGTCGGGTTCTTTCGACGCCGCCATGCATCCTGTCAAGGAAACCGAGCCTGCGCCTAGAGAAGTCGACGACGGTCAGCCTTACCGAATCAACAGCACGCCCTAAAGAAGAAGAAAAACAAAACATCGATTAAGGCTTCGTCGGATGTCCCAATGATCATTGCAACTCGCAAAGTCTCCGTTTACGCTCCTCCTGCTCGTAGTCAGGGGGCTGTTATGCATTCATCGTGTGGAAAGTTTGTCGCAAAATCTTTACGTAGACGCTTAAATTTGCAGTCGAACGCAGGGAGATGGCACGTTAGAGGGTGATGGCGCCGGGCACCAACTTGGTGCTTTCATTGGTTCAACCGACTCGATGTGTCCCCTCGCCGGAGACTTTAGCGTCCGTTGCACTGGCTCAATGTTGGATGATTGCGGCCATCCATGCCGCCGCGGGCCGGTCATATCATTGGTTGTGTCTAAGGTAGAATCTGAATCTGTAGTAAATAGGGGTCTCTTGCTCAACTGGTCGTTGATGATGTGGAGTACGTGCGAAGACAACGAGGACCGTCGCTTGGATCGTGCTGACCGGGTAAGCCAGGACCAAGGGGTGAGGAAAGAGCGAATGGGAGGCATAGGCGTGGGCTCCCGAGGGATGCGCAGCAGTGAAGCATGGGTCGGGATAGTGACGATTGCGGCAACCAGAGAGAGACGTCGAAATCAGTGGGTGAGATTTGCGCATGTAGGTGTGCGGAATCGTGGCCTCGTCTGCAATGGCATTGGCCACATCCAACTGTGCCGCCTGGTCGGTGCATAACCATGGCTATGCGGGGGGTCGTATTCTATTGAAAATCAGGTTCATAAGTGATCTCATGACTGACCGACAACGTGCAAGGCAAGGCAAGACGGCAAGCTTGGCGAGGGTGCAAGAAATGCTGCAGGGTGGAATGGGCCGAAGGGATGAGACGATCATAGTGACTTTGACCAGACGTACAATGCAACGGCAGGTGCCGTGGTATGGTACTTTGGAGCAAAGCGACTGTCGGCGGGATCGATAATACGACTTTGGCAATGGCTGGCGATAAACTCTAGAGTCTAGACCAGTCCGTAAAGTGAGCGATCCCACACAAGACGACGACGATGGTCCACTGACCCAAGAGATTGGGCTGCATCCGAGTCGAAGTTTGGTACGCGCAGATGGCGATTCAGGCGAGCCGGGACAATGCTTGTCTGGGACAGGGTACATGGTGCCGAAAATCCATCATGTTGGCGGTGGGTTCGAGGCCATGAACGAACAGTGGATTGTAAAATGAAGTTTCATTCTTCTTCTGGCAAAGGTAGACGAAGGCGAGCCGCGACGGGGCAGAGCACATGGGAGATTGGCGTCAAGGGCGGCATGGCATCGCATCTTTTGTCGTATGTTTCTGGCTGACCCCAGAATGTTGCATCGGCAGTAGGATTTGGATTATGGACGATGGATCACGGCCATGGAGATGGCCTCGTAGTGCCATGCCCATGTCGGCGTTGAAGCCCAACTATGGATGCTTTTGTGTATCCGAACCGCCGGGTCCCTTGCCGTGTACGCCAGCGCCATTGCGACTCTTGGGATGCTTCGTTTTTCTGATTTTGTCGTTGTGGCCTCCCCAGGAGCAGGCTACAATGTAACACAGTAGCATTGATGAATGCACATGTGTGGCTGATGACACTAGGGAATCTGGGAGACTGGCAAGCCGCAAGACTGGGTATCGGGATGGACTTGGGAGGTGCGAGGTGGGAGCATCCATAGGGCTGAGTCTGCCAGCCACCGCCGGGCTGGCAAACTCTCAAGTGCAGCAGGCAGTCGCAGTCGCAGTTGCATTTGCAGTTGCAGTTACGGTCGGGTTGCAATTGCAGGGAGGATGAGATCAGGGGGAAGGCGCTGTCTGCGTCGTTCCCAAGGTACCGTACTCCCTCCGCGGTCACTGCCTTCCGTTGTGCACTTGCTGAGGTAATGGAAGGAACTACGGAGTACCTAGGTACCTTAGGCACGGAACGTACCTACCTAGATACCTTGCCTTCCATTTGTGAACATCGCGGGAAGGTCCCGGCATCTGGCGTGTGTCTTTCTTTCCTCGCCTCAGATATTGTCATACCTGGTATTTAAACGCATACGAATGTCTACTTGGACATGGAAGTTCTCAACCACTCAGCGAAGAGGGGAGGAGTATCCGTAATTAGCTCCTGCTCTCGTTGCGATTGGCTTCTCCACGAAACCGCTTGTCCTGCCGGAGCACGGGGGGTGGTAGATTTTACTGCCACTGCGCAGTCTATGGCAGAGACAAGTGTCGCGAGCGTCAGATGTGGACACGGGGCGATCCTGCATCATCTTCCATGTCGTTGCAGTTGTTTGCTCGAATCACTGGCCGACTAGCCAAGATGCGGAGGTGAGGCACAAACGGAAGCACAGGGTTGGGCCACAGCATGCAGATGCTCGAGACACCGACACCCATCATCCGAATGCTTGGGACGACAGGCAGGCAGGTGCAGGGACGAACAGCGCAAGGGTCGTCGGTACCACGGTGGAGACATTGGAAGGGAGGGGTGCTTCGCACGGACCAGAGCATTTCCTAATTCGGCAAGCTGTGCGATAGCCTCACCCTCGACTTTCCTCCACTGACTGGCAGGCCGTAGGTACGGCAGGTAGGTACGGACAACTTCACCATGAACTGAGGTGTACAGATTGGAGATCCGACTGGTGATGTCCACAATGCTACCTTACTCCGTCCGTACGGGCTTTACTTTGCCATGCAACACAGAACTCCGTACGCAATTACCAGAGTCTCTCCAGTCTGCCGTGGACATAGTAGTTGGAAATTGACTGAACACCCATGGCCCATGGGAGTCGAGACCAAACATGACGGGAATGCGGGTTCAGTCAGTTTGATACCTGCTCAGAAGTTAGGACGGCCTGAGCCCCAACCTTTCGATTATCAGACTGAACCCCTTCCCCGGCCCAAGGTAAGGTAGGTTGTCTTATGCCAAAAGACACAAGACCCTAAACGTCGGTCGACTGTGAGAATTTGCGCACACCTGAGTACCGAGTCTACGCAGACGGAAGAAGTGCTCCATGGCCCTCACACAAGACTCCAAGACCTTCTCAGAAGCATCGTCATTGTTGCCAGCATTCTTCAATGGTTCTGGGTTACATCTCGCATTCTGCGGGGCGGCAGTACGGTGGATTCCCTGTCGTGATTTCCATTGCAGCGTCACTCACCTGGCGGTGACGGCGGTGACGGCGGAACGCGGGAAGAGAACAGCGTTTTTGATTGGACCTTGCAATGGACAGTTTTCATTGGTTGATGAAGCGACGATCGATGATTAAGGTTCCTGGGATCGGCGTCGCCGAACAGAATAGCAGCAGGTGGGGTCCATACCTGATAGACCTATCAGAGACCTCTCACAGACCTCACACAGGGAAATATCTCGGATACGTACTGTCTGTCTCCATTATGAATGGAGACGAACGAATCAGAAGACGCCAATGTAGTTCCGTTTCCTCAATACCTACCGCGGAATGAGAGACCCATCCACCGTCATTCCGTGTCCTACGGAGTCACATTCCTCATCCTCAAGCCTCAACCTGTTCACTGCTCAGTCAATAATCAGTCACCATACACTATGAAGTACCTAGCCCAACAGTGCTCTCCTAGGGTCATAGCGTGGAACTCCACGATCCACGATGCCACCGACAACCGTTGAAGCTTGTGTGGTTCTCGAATGTCGACAACGTTGGCTAGACTGGCGACTGCCTCATCGGATGGCTGAGACTTGGGCCCGCAGAGATTCGGTCGTTGGTTGCCATTTCAGATGTCCATGCCAACGTTCCAAATACCCATCTTTCACTTGCTAAACCCGACCTTTTCTAGGCACTGAGGCGCTTCTATTGAGTCGGTTGTCGTTGTCGTCGTCACGTCGAGTCGTTACACCCAAGTCAGAAGCTCCAACATTGTCCACGGCCCGGGGCAACACTGCATACCTGGCCGCTGCCGGCCAATGGCTCGCATCCGATGGGATATCGACTCGGATTGGCGGGTTCGCATTCTTCGAGCAGAAGCATTGGCAGACAAAGAAAGGTTGGGTGTCTCGTTTCCCGACAAAATCAAACAAAAGTAACTCCGTACTCCATACTCCATACTGATACCTACCGCAGGGTTGGACGCATCCCTCATGCCTGTCTATCCGTATACGAAGTATGAACTGCCGTCGCGGCACCTCATGACTGAAGAAAAGACGATTGCAGGCATGTCTCGATTCTCGACTCCTCGTCGACTTTCAGTCTCTTGTCACTGTCATGATCCACACGGGTCATGCGGATGTCATAAACGCGGGCGGGGTCACGAGCTGCCAGGGCCCAGAGCCGGCCTTGATGTCTCTCAAGGCAGCAGCATTTCGACCGTGGTTGCTTTTCTGTGTCGAATAGACGAGATGCAGGCTTTGTACAGCAAAATTACGCTAGCCAGGGGCCCAAGTTGCCTGCCCTGGGGATCATTTTTACCCATGTTTTCTTTTCCACCCACGCTGCACCCACCCAGACGTGCGAGACAAGAGGGGGGAAGATGAACACCAGGGCTTTGGGCAGCAAATCGAGCCGTGTGTTTGCAGGACCCGTTTCTCTGGATTCCGCAGATCTCATACTGCAGGGTTTGGCCTTACCAAATCGATGCTGAGGACGCTTGCGACGAATACAGTAATAGTAAACGAGAATGACAAGGGAGCCCAGGCCCAAAACGGCTTGGGGCGGGCTGTCTTGGTGCGTCGGGGAAGTGTGGGAAGGGAAGCGGGCACGGCGGGGCGGGAGGATGCTAGCGATTTGAAGACTCGAGCCAAGCATCGACCCGTGGGCCTTGTCTTCTGCCCCCAAGGGCCCAAGACTGTTACACAGACCATCACCACGCCTGAGCAGGTTGCGACGTCGGCCAAGTCTAGTCTGGGCCTCTACTGGGCTGGGGCGACGACGGCGCGATACTGCGTGATGGTCTGGGGGGTTTGCTAGTGTATGGCAAAATCAACGGTTTTGCCCGTGCCGCAATGGCTTGTGGCGGACTGGCGGCATCTGCCTCCAGGCTTACGGCTTGCCAGGCCTGCCAAAGTAGACGGGCACCAGGTTGGCATAGCCTGTAGCGTGATGGACCAGACTGCTGGGACGACGATTCAACTCTGGGGTGTGAGAGTCGGTTGTTGACAGTCTACAGACAACAGTACCTGCGTGCAGAGCCGTGTCCTGTAGGCATTCCTTTGAAGCACGATGCGCTTGCCACCACCAACTCGCTGTGAGTTGGCCGTTGTTTCTTCCATTTGGGGGCCAGGACCAGACCACACGCGGAGGCTTTCGCCTCAAAGCTTCGCTAGAGGGCCTAGGGCCATGTATATGAGAGGAGAGCTGGGAGACCCTGTTATGAATGTGTCTGGCTAATCTATGAAGAACTGCCAGGATATCAAGCCATCGACGTCTAGCTCAGGACCGAAGCCGTTCCCAGACCGATCATGTCCTTGATGTTTCATGGCCCTTGCAGAGAGATGGAGAGGAGTAATTAGCAGTATTTGGTAAGATAGGCACGGCATCTCTGCCCATACTCCCTTCCATAACAAGTTAACAATCTAGTGTCCACTTGTTCGGTGCCACTAACAAGAGCAAGAGGAGAAAAGACATAGAAATGAAAGGAGTGGGGCTTGTGAGAGTGCAAGTTGTGGATCATGGTCGGGGCGGGGAGAGAGAAAGGGGGGGTGTGGAAGACGAAGAAGCGGTGCGGAACACGTGAGAGACAGTGGTACGTACTGCTTCGCGGGCAAGTGGAGATGGAACAAGACTGCGAGATTGTGACTCGGTACGTACTGACTTGGATCATGGATGAGGCAGCAAGAAAGAATGAAAGAAACGTCCCCACCACGCGTCAAATCAAGGTTTCTATCTTTAACCCCAAATGAGATAAACTCCGAACACACGCAGCACAAGCGTCTTCCCTGCCGTCCACAGATGCCTTACACAGTTCACTACGCAAGAAAAGAGCGGGGACCGCAAGGCACACATTCCCCCGCTGCTTCATGCTCTCCCAGAGAAAGCCTCGCCTACTGCACCACATACATTGCATCTTGACCGACCTCCATCACAGTACCACACTACACTACGACAGCGGACAGTGGTGATCCAGGCAAGCCAGGTTGTCCTCTACATACAATGGATCTGGATATACCCCTAGGCGCTATGGCACTTGGAGCCGCTTGCTAACGAGACCCGGACAGACCATGCATGCCTATGCCTTGCCCGCCCAGAGTTCTGAAAACCAAGGTAAGGTTGTCAGTCCCTTGGCCCTTCACACTCCACTACCAGGTGCGGCATCTACGCAGTAAAGGACCCCTCCCACTAACCGCCGTATACCGAATCCGGTTTGGCCTGAAATTCACTGAACCTCTTGGCTTGGGCTTCGTTCACATGGAGAGCGGATCCCTTTTTTCTCCTTCCCCTCGGCCTTACTACAACTACACTACCAAATGGACGAACCTACGGCACTGTCGTACAGGCTTCAACCCCGTTCCAAACCTTCCGCGGAATGCCCCCAGTTCCCTGCCAAGCGTGCCTTGGCCATTGCAAAGTCTCGCCCATCTTCATTATTCCACAGTACTTGGAGTACGAGATCATGGGCATGCATAGCTTGACGAAAGTGGGCGCGCGAGCATGCACATACAGTACGGATACTACAGTCTCCGTGGAGGAAAAAGAAAAGAAATAAGATCGGTGCCCACGGCTTCTGTGATCTCAATCTCTTGGGGCGGGGGGGGACACAGCGGGGAGAGGGCCTGGCCTGGACCGTCGAATGGACGTCAAATGGCTACCTGACGTTTTTATGCCCTGACAGACAGGGGAAGCAAAAAGATGATGGAGTGTCGTTGAAGACAATTACGCGCTACCTGCGATTGGCTCCTCCATCAGGTCTCACCCGTTGTGAAAAAGCATGTAATTGGGATACGTTCGGCCAAAACGTCCACGCTCGCAAGCACCCCCCGCAAATTCATCCAAACATGTACCTACTTACTCGACATTAGACGATTCGTTATCGTCCCATCACTCAGGATGAATGGAGAGAGCATCACAATCGCGCAAAGGGAACTGCATTCAGTCGTCCGCTGCTCCTCTTTCGGACCACTATCTCGGAGAGCCAGCAATATCAGGTAAGGGATGGGAGATGTGGAAAGAAACCAAAGGGGAAGAAAATCGCATCTCTTACCAATCGGCGCTACCCCCGTTTGCAAAAACAACCCTTTCCGACTCCCGACATTCGTCTGCCCTTTTTTTTTTTTGCTCGTCGCGATAGGTTGGCCGGCGGGAGATTGTCCTAGTACCAGTATGCAGGCTTTCCAAAATGGGTTTGGCGTATCGACGTGTGGAGAGCTGAGGACGGGGGGACAAGACAGGCCCATGGGCTCATCAGTCACTCTTTCCCTCCCCCCCCTGGCCCTGGAAGTATTATACCGAATTTTTCGCAGTACGGATACTGAATCCCCTCCCCAATCCCCGTCGCCATCGTCTACTCCGTACTCCGTCACGTCCGTACGTACGGTCGGCGGCCTGCGGTCTGCGGCAGGTTTCCCCCTGTCCTATCCACTGATGAGGAATTATGGCTACCCGTCTTGTAGATCCGATGCTACGTCAAAGGTGAGCCGTCACCCGTGGGACTTCTCTGGGAGGTCAATAATGATCGACATATCAAACATGATGTGCCAAATCCCGGTCTCTTCTCTCAGTCTGCGTGCCTGCGAGGGGGGAAGGGGGAGGGGCTTGGGGGGTCCGGAAGACAGATGACAGAGAGTGATCCACGAGATCCAGTGCTTCCATCATCCATGCGTGCCATGATCTCACTGAGAAAATGCAGAAGGGATAGGCAATGATACCTGGTAACTCCGTAGGCAATCCGTAGGCAACTACATAGGTCTCTCGACGGGAACGAAACGATGTCACGATCTGCCAGGATAGACGGAATTACGCAATGACACAAGCCTCACCTTTCTGTATTCGCTACTCTTACTCTATTTTCCAAGGTTCCTCTCTCTTGGATTCTCGCGCATTCGTTCTTCCTTCTCTCTCCGGGTCTCCCTGCAGCGTAGATCCTGCGCCAGTCCCAGGAACCCCAGGGCTGCTCTCCTTATTCTTTCTTTTCTTCGTTTCCCAGACCGCCGCTTGAATGCGAAGTCGTGCTCAGGCACTCTGGGTTCCACCAGCACCAGCAGCAGCTGGGCCCAGGTGTTTTTTTCACCGTTACATCGGAGACGAGAAAGAAGGTTTGATTCTCCAGTGGTATCCGTATTACACAGTACACTACCGCAATCACATGGAGGCTTGTCTGGCTGGAGGCAGAATCTTTTTCTGTTCGGTCTTGTCCGCGGGCCGGGGGTTCCATGCTTCACGATGAACCGGGGGCCGCAGAATAACTGAAGCCTTTTCGACAACCACCAAGTAGTCGTGATGCGAGTCTTTTTTTTTGTGGGAAAGAATTTCCCTTGGGAGGCAGCCCAATCTTTGACTACCGTGGCTACGTAGTTCCTGTCCCTGTTGAGCTGGTTTTCCGTCCAATACTCTCTCCCATAGAGGCGCTCCAGATTCTCAAGCGTGGACACCCCCTCCCCCTACCTACTCCTCCATGATATCGCGCCTACTATCGTTCGTCCCTTGAGTTTAATGTATGTACGTGTATGCGTTATTCCCCGATGGGAGGATGGGAGGGGGCGTCCAAGGGTCACCACATCATATACACACTCACTCTCCCCTCCCAGGCCGTCCAGACGCCGTCCCCGTGCCACGAAAATGAGATGTGTGTGTGTGTGTGTGTGTGTGTGTGTGTGTGTAAGGCGGGAAGCAAGCCCAGTCCCAGCCCAGTCCAGGCCAGCCCAGACGCCGTGATACCTGCGTCTACTGTCTGCCGGCAGCGGGCGAGTGTTGGTGATGGATCAACCCGCCCGGACCCCTATTTCGGGGAGTTTCTTTCCTCTCTCCGGTTTTCGCAGATGAGGAAGGGAATAATATCTCCGTAGCGCCTGCAAGAGTGAGATGGAGGCGCCGCGGGCAGGTAGCCGGGACCTCGCGGTGACCATAGTGATATCTTGGGTTATTGGTTGTGTTTGTTTTTGTCTGCATATAGAGTCCGCTGTTACACAATATCGGACTGTAATCCATATCTGCCGTATTACCCTTATCACAGAAACAGGAACACGCGAAAAAGCCCCTTCATGGTGGTGTTGCTGCCGTACGTTGAGTCTCACACTCAACGAGTGAAGTTTCCCAACAGCCCGGTTCGAGAGGCGCTTCCCGCGAGAGGAAAATCCTTGCTGGTCGGAACCAACGCAGCCCAACCATCCTAGCTTAACAAGGCGAGAAATCACTAACAAAGTAAACCACCATCGACGACACCAAAAGGCTCGCACTCACACGCGCACACACACCACCACCAGATCCTGCCGTGCCTTGGTTCCCCTCCAACGGGCCGGGGAGGAAAGATGGACGATGAGCCTAAGTCTTTAGAGACAACCATCTTCTTTTCTTCCTGGGTGCCACAATTGGTCCAGCCCGGAGTTGCGGTCTTGCACGGCTAGGTATTGCTATTCTTTCCGTCTTCAGCCATGAAGGAGAGTCCGAAGACTGGCATAAGATGGTATGAGACTATCGAGATATAAGACCGGCTTGAAAATGTGCTCTTTCTTTTTGGGTAGCCCACTGGGCTTGAGCTTCAGAAAAAGAATCTTCACGCTTGACAACAGCGTCACACGAAGGACAGCTTATCTCGGAGTGAGAGAGGGGTAGCGGAACAGTCGTTTGGTACAACACTGTTTACATGCCAAAAACAAAGTCTGGCCTGGCCTTTCCACCTTGTGATAAAACCGCACCAGTATTCTAGACCATCAATGCCTTGCCACGAGGGACTGGAAGTTGAGGTCTTTGACCGGCCAGGTTTCTCTACACGACGTGGCGCGTGGTCTCTGCCGTCAACTTTGCAAACGCCCCGGCCTTGCAGGTGTCTCACTCCGCTCGAGCGCTCTATACCGCCCCAACTTTTCCGCGGTCCTTGAACCAAAGAAAGAGTGGCCGGCCACTTGGCTGGGTTGTTTTTGGCGCCGTGCTAACCGTTGCAGAATATGATAGCGGTTTGGTGAAGTGTGATGGGATAGACTGGCAAGTGGGCGCCTGGATGGTAACATCGGGGATCTCTACTTGCAGTAGGGACGAAGCACAATGGCTTGTGACAGGGTAACAAACGAGGAGTTTTTACTAGTGTCCAACAAACGCCTTTGAGTTACCGGCGTTGTCGGACTTTGCTTCTTTATGAGGTGGTTCCTCGTGGCGTCGTCCCATATCGCACCACCCCCTCTTCTCTGCGATGCATAGCAACGGCGGGAAAAACCGAAGAAAACATCAAAGTATCTCTCGGCACTTCTAGAGAATACAGGATTACTCGACCGTCGACCGAGAGCACGGGTGGACCCTGGCTTCAGATGAGACTGCCGTCCTTGCTCGCCGCGTGTAACTTCGGGGACTACGCAGTAGATCGTACGTGCGAGATGAAAAGTGACCACAAACAGCAACAGTGCCGGGAGGTTTTGTCCGCCCCCAGCGTTTGAGCGAAGGCGAAATAAGGCAAAGCTACCCGTGATGGTATCCATCTGCCATTACCGCAGTCTTGGGTCCGGAAGCACCCAGACTCTCGGGACTAACACATGCATCCCAGCAAAAAGAGGCGTCACGCCGGCTTCTGCTAAGGGGACGAAAAAAGGCCACTAAGCCAGCGTAAGGGTAGTCCCCCCAAACGCGAGTCGCCTCTCCTCTCCCTCTCACTAATCCCTCGAACAATGGGCTTAGGTACGATACCGTTGAAAGGGGTGGAGGGAAATAGGTCTAGACCCGAGGGGAGACGCGGGCTTTGACTAGTCCTTGGACGCACACACGCCCGAGAGGTCGGGTCAGCACAGTGACAATGAGCAAAACGTCGAAGTCTTCTTCTGCCTCCCCCGTCCCCTTGCTTTCCCTTTGCCATCTGTGCCTGTGCTAGGCTAGTCTGTGGGCTAGAGGGGGCCAGTAGAGTTTAGATGAAGAAAAGGAACGCATCGTGGCTATACGGCATCTAGATTCTAGACACTTGAGGCAAAAAACGCCAGGAGAGATTGAGTTGGAACCTTGGGAGATGGGGCTGGGTTTATTCTGCCCGCCCCTCTGTGCAGAGATCAAAAACAAAGAAGCCGCAGCGTGAAGAGGCAATGAACAGGCGTTGGAAAACCAATCAACGCAAAATTCGCAAACGAGTCTCACAACCCCCCAAGTGTGTAGGACCCGAAGCAACGGGTTCTGACCGGCGCCACGCCCGCCTCCCGACGATTTCGAAGGGTTGCAACTTGCGGGCGGGATAAGGCTTTTTTTCTCACTCTCCGAAGGGGGTCTGCTGCCGTGGCCGCGAGGCTAGACGACGAAATGCCACACGAGACGGATCAAAGATGCCTCAAAGGCCCTAGGCTCGTCCAAAACCACGTGTGGATGATTGCGCAGGGGTCGCCTTTGTAGGCGAGCGCGGGAAGAAGCTTGGAGCACACGATGGCGGGCTTCGCGTAGAGTATTCGGGTCTAGCTTGTTAGCTCTGTGAGGAAAGCCCGGCGTGGTCATTGAATCAGTTGTGAATCTAGACGAGTCTGTCCATGGACTCCATCCCCCGGACCCTCCTTCGCTCGCGATACCCTCGCTGCTGCGGGGATGGGAAGGGCGCGGCGTGGGATGTTCTGCAAAGACTACACCGGCGGCGAGGCGAGGCAGGCCGAGGCTGGTACGGGCGATTATGCAGGAGTCGGGGTCGGAGGCGGAAGCGGAGAGGCACGTGAGAGGTGGGAACTTGGGTTGGAAGTGTGACGGGTTGACATGGCCGGTAGATGGTGAGGAAACCTGGAGTCCTGGGCAGTCGTGACCAGACCAAATCGATAGTCTCAATCCTTCGCGCTCCACTGCCGAAGAACAGCATCATGAATGAGTAGGTGGCGGGTAGATTACCAGCGAGCAGCCGGCGGCGAACCGGGGCGGCCAAGTATTTTGACATTGTCACATTTCACCGGCGATGAGCATCATTTCGCGGCTCCCTTGAATGATCAAAATCGTATTAAATCCGGCGCTACAGATGACTTGTTGTCGTTGAGAGACTTGGTAGCTAAAGATCGGAATCGGAGTCGGAGTCCAAGACAGACAAGGGCATGGGTGACAGGGGAGCAGGCATGGAGATGATGTTCACGTTCTCGGACGAAAAGCCATCCGAGATTAGTCGCTGCAAGGTGAGGTGGAAGATGGTCGCCGACCACTCTTGCACATCTTTTCCCGAGCGAATCGCTGCCCCCTCTGTCGTCGAGACTCCAAAGGTGTGGTTGAAATAACTGACAGAGGCGTGACAGCAGGGAAATGGGAAATACCTAAAGTAGAGAAAGAGAGGTCGGTAAGTTGGTATTCGTACGGATACAATGTCGATCCTTGAACCTCGCGCGGAGGGGTGCTCCCTGGGCAGGGAAAAGACTGAAAAGATCGACACGCCAATTCTGTCATTGTTTCTTCTTCCCTTAACCGCGGGGGGGTGCCAGTGCCACGGTGCCTGGCAAGCCGCAAATGCAGACTCAAGAGAACCAGGTCCCCCCCGTCGCCTTTGGCTTGCCTGAGTAGCCCTGCCTTCCCTCACAACTCTCCACCCGAGTGGTAGCCAAGCAGAAGCCACGGACAGACAGAAATGCAGGGGCTCTAGGGGTGCCATTCTCAAGAGGGAAAATGCCTGGGATGATGGTGCTGTTGCATCCAGTGGCCGTATCCGGCTTGGGGCGCGAATCTTGGTGTGTGTATCAATCGCACTCCTCGGACTTCGGCATCGGAGCTGCTGGTGATGCCCTCAACTCCTCTCATGGGTGTGTGTACACTATGCGTGTGGTTGGTGTTCATGGGTAGAGTTAGCTTGACTGCCCACCATCCCGGTCAAGCTACGACCTTCCCTACAGAGGATGCTGCTGTACGCGATGTACTGATCTCCACGGCGCGAACCCATTGTGTGGCCCGGAAACCCAGCGCCAATCTTTGGGAATGGGGGAGGGTTGCACGACATAGGGAGCCCGTAGCAGACAGGTATCTCTTCCCCATGCTGACAGCTGGTTCGCCTGAGGAGGGACAAGGCTCTATACAACGGGTTTCAATATCCATGAGAACCCCCCCCCCCCCCCGGCCGTACCCAAGAAGCTTGCCTACGGCCGTATGTGAGTATGTACATATGGGTGATGTATGTATGCAATGCGGGCAGGGCCACCGTCCACGACTTACCCCCATGCCCTGCAGCGCGGCAGCTGGCTCCGTTCGTACCACGCTCTATCATATCACGGGAACACAAATATCATAACTCAACTCGGACACTTGGGTGCCAGCGTTTGTGGGCCAGTCAATCTTCGCCGTGCTCTCGTCGCTAAGTGTATCGCTTCCGGCCTCGTCTATTGCGGAATTGTGACCGCGGCGGAACCTCTTGATTGCCCGCCGAGCCTCATCCCCAGTATCGTGATGTGTGCTGTATTGCAGGAAGCATATCATTCTGCCTACCACGAGGCTTTTCCCGGTGCTGAGAAGCCTCGTGAGGGCTTTCTTACCGTCACACGCTGTCACTTGATGTGACTTAGCCAATCCAAAGTCTCCATATCGAGATAGTCTTTACTACCATACCGTCGCCCCGTCTATCTCGCCCTGTAGCATACATAGCCATCATACAGTTGCAACCTCGCTTCGCCAGCCCCATCCACCAGGTACACCGTCACCGAGTTGGTTCATGCCTGAAGCTTTGCATATGTCCATGACGATGCCTCTCACAGCCCTCACCTCCTCGGCAGATGCGCCACCGTTGAGAGCGCCTTTGAGATGACCCTTCAGCTGAGGATTCACATCCTGCGGTATCAACCCCGCAATGAGAACGTAGGATGTCTCTACTGGAGACAGAACGTTGGTATTGCTGAGTATGTACCCATACATCAGCCGGGCGGTTAAACCGAGGTCTTCCGTGCCCGAGCGGTCCATCTGACTCATTACCCGTCTCGATATCTTGCCGTAGATGTTATCCCAGAAGCCCTGGCCGCGCTGCAAGATCTTGGAAGAGGGAGTGTGGTGTATGTCCACATGCCGTGCAGTCGGCGATGAAGAAAGCGTATCATTCGCACCTTGCGGCTCATCTAGTAGGTGCTCCGGTGTCACTTTCTTCAACTCCATGAGAGAATTGATGGTCTACTTCATGTCAGTGACTGTTTCCAAGTAGAGAAGTACAGTATGAAACCGGTACCTTGGGCAGGCCTCCAACTGCAGAAGCCTTGACGAGTGCTTCACGTAGCTTCCTCAAGATTGTGAGGTGTTCCTCCGGGCCCGGCTTCACATCATCAGGACCGAGGCCGTGTTTCATGACATGATTGTAGACTTGCGGTATCTCATCTGGCCGATTCAGTATGGTCAAAGTCGTGGCAGCAATGAAATACCAAGCATGCTTGGGAACATGTGGTTGATTCTTCAGCGATGTGAGGAGCGCTGGGGTAGCAATGGGCATCAATCCAGCTGTCATCGTGGCCATGGATGAAGCACGAGGGAGGTAGAAAAGTGAGGTTTTACGACCAAGTTATCATTGTCGCATTTACCGAGGCAGACGGATGACTTTCCAAAATACCACTTCAACTTCCTCAGCAGGGAGATGGGAAACGACTACGGCGTCTCCTTTGGCAAAAGCTATCCGTTCTCAAGCGGACATGAGAAGAGCGCCGTCCAACTCATCGCGGAAGACGAACGCTGTCATCCTTATCGGGGGCTCGGTGACCAAGATAAGGAACGGCAGGGCCGGCCTGTCGTTTGAATCGTGGCCGGAGTCGGCTTAATGTAGCCCCGATTCAGTCACCTTGTGTAACGAACCATCACGTGCTCCACCTCCAACCTTCCCGCGCTACCGCGTTGAGGTAGTTGGATACTGTGGCGTCACTGCTCTGCTCAGGTAATCCACCGCAGCAAGTGGATGCTTGTCATTAACGTGGCATCAACTACGGCCTCCGAAAGAGACGTACTACCACGCCAACACCGCGCATCCGGACTTTCTTTGGCCTGCATCAACAACATGGGCACCTGAGGGCTTTCCTCACTCCACATCACCAATTCCCGTGCTAACAGCCCATCAAAAGTCAAGATGAGGCTCGCGTGGTACGCAGGGGTAAGTGACGCTGTTGGAGCTATCGAACAAGCTCCGTTCGCAAAGCTCCGTCTCCGCCAGACACGCCTGGCCATCTCGGAGCTGTAACTTGCTGACCCAGAGACATAGGTTTCCACGGCCCTGGCGGCCTCGGTCGTCGTATCAGCCTTCCACCAACGAGCCAACTTTTACTCGGCCATGGTCTACCTCGCGCAGAGCAACTTCTGCTTATTGGTGCGTTATCTGGCCTTCCTCGTGGTCCCGCTGCAACCGAAGCTGATTAGTGCTTCCAGGTCCTGGTCAACTTCATTTACCTCATCTACGGTACCCTGATATACGGCCTGCAACGACTCCTGTATGGCCCGCTGCGACAAGTTGAAGTCGAGCAACTTTCCGAAAAAGCCTGGTTCGCTATTACCGAAACATGCCTCGCGATGACGATATTCCGGGAGG